TTCGATATGTTTGCCATATTTTAATGCATTTCTGGTAAATCTGCATCTTTAAATTTTAAATCAGAATTTAATTATTATTTTATGATTTTTATTTTTTTCGCATTTTAATTCTAATTATTATTGATTTTTATTTCTTCGATCACAAATAATGCGTATTTCATGATTTTTATTTTTTCGCTCAGACATAATACTTATTACTGAGTTTTATTTTTCCGCTTAAAAATAATGATTATTTATAAAATTGAAAACGACGCAACTTACTGAAATCTTGACCTGAAAATTATGGGACTTATTCCTTTTATTAGGGTGTCGCTACCTCTGAAAAGGATTCGATGGAAATCACGCTGGTATAGCTTTTTAAGTGAAAAAGTTAAACTCAATAATAATTATTATCTTTGAGTGAAAAAATAAAAATCATAAAATAATCATTATTTTTGGTCGAAAAAAATAAAAATCAAGTAATAATAATTACATGCAGCGAAAAATTAAACTCAAATATTAATTATTATTTTTAATCTTTATTTGTTAAAATCGAAAATTAAAAATCGTTGTAAATTACAGTAGGATGTACGAACACAAATACGTGAGTATAGTTAAAATTGTTTTACGACGATTACAACTTGTAGATTTTTTTGGTTAAAATTTTAATAGGACGACAGGATTTCTCCTGAAAATTTGCAATTGTGGACTATTTTTAATTGGTCTGACAGGGCCGTATGATGAACATTAAAGTTTTATATTCAACTTTTTTAACAAATTCTTTTGCTTCTGCACAAAAAATAAACAAAATAAAGTGTTTTACTGTTTGACATGTTCTCACGGGTTGATTAAGGAATTAATGTGGCAGTACTAATTTAAAAATTTTAAAAATATATTTTGAAACATTTTTTTCCTTTAGTACCCTCATATATATATATTAGTAGGATTTGAATTAATCTAAGATTCAAACTCATTTAAATTTAAAAATCTTGTAGGATAATATTTTTAAAGAACATATTTGACATGTTCCAAAATGATAATTGAAAAGTTATGATTAATCTTGTTTCGAAATCTCTTTTCAATTGATAGGCATTAAGGTATTCATATTTTGTGTAAAGTTTTGGAAATATTATAATTTATGGTCCTTTGGAAAAAATCTTAACTCCCGCGTAAAAAACCAAAAACGCAGATGTACTCAATATTATGTCCTGATACTGCAGGGAGTATAGCAATACCGTCTTATACAGAAGAAAAATTAGTAAATTAACAAAACAAGCCAACTGCACTAAGTTTATTCTGATAACTTTGACTGCAAATCAGCACGGTTTGCCGTGGTCCGAATTGAATAAAATTTTATTCGGATAGTTTTTAAGACAAAATCAATAAAATGATGCGTTAAAAATAACATCTTTGGTTTTTTGGTGCAGTCTAATATAGATATGTGTGTATATGTACATACATACATACATATATGTCAAATCAACCATTTTTTAATTGGATTAATTTTAATTGAAAAGGTAACAACAGCTATAATTACATTAAAAATAAAAAATAAAAATAACAAATAAAAATAATTAATTAAAAAAAAAAGATATGAAAAAAATTCTGCTGGCAGTGGGATTCGAACCCACGACTTCGTAACAACTTTTTGTTAAGATGAAAGAACAGAGCTATCCATATGAAACGTAAAAATTAACTCGGCAATATAAAGATATATGAGTGCTTTAATAAGTTCACCCTGTGTCTGCGGCAGTATTGCCGATTTACCACGCCGCAAAGTCGCGGGTTCGAATCCCACTGCCAGCAAAATTTTTTTTTCACCCTTTTTTTCTTTTAATTGTTATTTTTATTTTTTTTTATGTAATAATGGTTGTTGTAACCTTTTTAATCAAAATTAAATTTAGTTGAAATTAATTCTCTATGACTACGGGCCCATGTACATATTTAATATTCTTATTTGGCGCTGTAACCGCCTAGGCGATTTTGGCCGAGTTCAACAAAGCACGTCAGTCTTTTCTCTTTTGTTAGGGCTGCCGGATATCTCTGTTGCCAAACCGGGACACTGTGGTAAATCTAACACAACAATTATGACTACTAGGTATGGCCAAGGTGTGTTAAAAAAGGTGGGGTTGACAACTCAGTGAGGCTCTCTTTTAAGGTATTATAACGTCAAAAAACAAATCAACGAAAAATTACACTGAAGATGCCACAACGCCGAAACCGGTTTGCCTGCAAATCAATCTTGACAAGGGATGACGGTAATTTGTTCTAAAATAAATCATAAACAAATGACGCACTCTTCTTTGCAAGCGGAAAGGAATTTATACTTTCTTTCTTTCTTTGGCATTTTTATGTTCTATAAAGTTTGTCGCGAAAACTTACATTGGAAGTAAAGCACGCACGAAAAACAAACAAGCAAAACAAATAAAAAACAGCTGATGCTAATAAGAAAGGGCAGTTTGCACGCTCTAAAAAGTGCATGTATAACTACAACTGAAAAGTGCCTAATTTTCCACCAGAATCTATGTAAATATACGCATAAGATGTTTAAGATTTGATTTTGAACATTCGATGTTTAAAATATATACATAGATGTACATATGAAATGTTTAAAATTGCAAAAATTTTGAAAGTAAAAATACATTTTCTACTAATAATAAACATTAAGTGCTGACATTTACTAAATTTTCTACATTTTATGTGTAATTTTGCTCTACGCGATAAATTTGGTATGTAAAAGTAAACAGACAGTGTTTGATTTTGCAGGAGGGGAAACTAGTTAACTCTCTTCATAAGCGTTAATTTAAAACAAAAATCTTTTAAAGCAAATTTTAAACATTTGATGTGTAAACTTGAAATTGTGAACATTAAGTGTTTAGAATTCAATAAACACACATATTTTAAATTTGCTCTACGCTAAACATATGATAAGCACAAGTAAACAAGCAGTGTTTAATTTAGTTAACACAGTGTGTAAATTTGCACTCATTAAGAGAGGAAACTGGTTACCTATCTTAATATGCGCAAATTTAAACACAATTTTTTTAGAGTGGATATCGATCACCACAAGGGCACCGGTAGTGATTTTTGAACTTATTAAAATTTGGGCATATAAATTGAAAACCGGGACACTTAAACGAAACCCGGGACATTTTAAGGTTGGACCGGGACACCGGGACAAATAGTCTAAAACTGGTCAGCCCTATCTTTTGTGCCAATTGGAAATGCCAAGTGAAGCCAAGTCCTTTTCCACTTGGTCTTTCTATCGCAGTGGTGTCCATTAGAACGACATGGCCTAGCCAGCGGAGCCGCCTCATCGGATGTTGTCATTGTCCATGCTTACCAGCACGGGCATAAAAGTTTGTGGCTTACATAGCTTTTGTGCGATACAAGATTGCCTTACAACGTTTAATATTGTTACGAACAAGAATGACTAATAATCCTGCCTTAGCTTTGTTATCTTGATGGTTTGTGTAGTAGACTAAATTTATATTCTACTAACTTACAAATATTTTCTAAACTAATACACTCCTCACCTACGACACCGTCTAGCGCACCGCGTAGATCATGTACCGCTTCCAATTTGCAAGCGCCACCACGTTCCGCATTGAATTCGTGAATGTAGAGGAAACCCTCCTCGCTGGCGATCAACACCTTCAATTGCTTCTGCACGTATGTCAGTCCACAAATGTGACGCATGCCAGGCTGTGCTATGACCGCCGTAGCGAAGGCGCGATCCTGCGCGAGCACATCGCTCACTTGCGTTGGCAAGAGATATGAGGATACAGCCTTCGAAAAGTAATCGGACCAGCCGCTACCCGAGGCGCCCGGCGATGTGGAGACAAGCGATGCATCAGCAGCTGGCGCTACAGCATTTTCAATTTGCGCTTCACTTTTGCCCGGCTGCGTCGACTGCTTTTCCAATTGTTTAGCAGCTGCAGCAGTATTTGACGCTTTCAAAGCGTCAGCTGGAGGAGTAAAATTTAAGTAAAAGTGATTTTAGAAATATGTTCATCCACTAGTTCCTCGATATTACTCACCCTCTAGCGCCGTCATCACAGCTTTTTCATCGATTTTGAATACATGCACGGTCTCTGTATTCGAGGTGACACAGAGAAATTGTCCATTAACCGAAAATACCAGCGATGCTATGCGTACGCAACGTTTCACGCCGCGTCTAAACTCCTGCACGCGCTGACCAGTCTTCACACAGAACACACGTATCACAGTGCCACGCTCCGAGGCGGTCGCCAGCAGTTGGCCGCTAGGTGAGAAATTCAATGCCGACAAACGACTTTCATGCGCCCGAATTGTGATGCCTGACTTCAGTTTGGATGCATTGTAGAGACGCAGCTCACCGCTGGTACTGCAGATGGGAAAGGCTAAGTGCGAGTTTAGCGATAGGGAACACAAGCCCAGCTCGTTGGGTGCAATATTCTCAATGGCATAGAGCATCTTCATGTCGCGTATGTCGTGAATGTGTATGCTCTCCGCTAGACAGGCAATCAAACGCGTACGATTCATGCGTATGCTGAGTATATTCGTAGGGTAGACACAATTGCAGATTTTCTGATTCTTCTTGAAGTGCAACATTTGCAAGCAGTGCGGTTTCTCGGCAGTGACCATCACCACAAGGGAGCTATTGAATAGGCGCTCGATCAAAATGATATGCTCCGAATCTCTGGCGTAGATTTCCTCAACCTTGTCACAACTATTGATGGAGAAAATGCGAAAGCCATCGCTACCATCCAAAACGGAAATCGAACTGTAAGCGAGAGAAAAAACGCTTTAACACACTTGAAATTTCCGTCATAGAAAATTTGTTTAAAATTACACTGTACGGCAAAATTAACCTTTTCTCTGGATTTATATCCTTGTAAAGGTGATTAAACCCCCTTTCTTCCGATATGCATATTTGTATACTTCGTATATAAAAATCTTAGAAAAAACACATTTAAAGGAAAAAATACCTTTTTTTTATAAAAAAAAATATTTTAAATAAAAAAATTATTTTAAACAAAAAAACAGTTTTTTAAAAAAATAGTATCATTGTAAAGACGATTAAATCCCCTTTCTTCTGATATGCATATTTATATACTTCGTAATAAAAATTTGAGAAAAAACACATTTAAAGGAAAAAATACCCTTTTTTATGTAAAAAAATTAAAAAAAAAAATTACTAACCGATTTTTAAAAGGTTGGTATCGCAATTATAAATAGTTGAAATGTTACTTTCAATTACGAATTAAATTAAAACAAGTAAAAAAGTCTAAGTTCGGGTGGAGCCGAACATTAAATACCCGGCGCAAGTATTAAATATAGTTTTCACCTTTCTCAAAACTGCCGTTACCCTGTTTAACCCCTATTTCTAACAATTCCGATAATATGTTCAGTTATACGTAATGAGAAAAACTTGTACTTGTTGATGTGAACGGTACCACGCCAAGGGTTCGAAATTTCAGACTTTGGTATCTATACTGAGTACTCAATCTGGCATCGAGCTCATGGTATCGATACTTTAAAAGTATCAGGGAAAAAGTATCGATACTACTCAGTATCGGACTCATTGAACTAAAATTATTTTATTCTTCAATCGGATATCTAGTTCTTTCCTGAAATTAAAACAATAGAAATTTAAAATATTTGATTTTTATTTCATTGCAGAACTGGCTTTCACGTTAGAAGTAATTTTAACGATAAATGTACATATATACATACATATGTATATATATATATATATATATATACTTTTACGAATTTCAAATTTTATTAAGAATTTTTGTAAACTTTTTGGCTATGCATTTTTGTAGCCTATTCAATTTTAGTATAACAATGTGCAAGTTTGAATTAAAAGACAACGGTAGTAGGCTACACGTAAAGTTGAATAGGTTACAAAACTGCATACTGCATAGGTTTCAAAAAATTCTGCATTTTCGTGAACTTTGCGTAAAGTTTTATGGCCTTATTCATAAAAAATAGAAAAGGTTTATAAACTGAAAAATGTAAGGAAATGTCATTTTATTAAGCTCTTTAAACCTGCTTTATTTTTTATCAATAAGGCCATTAAACTTTATCTTATTTGGTTTATGTTATGGAACAGACTAGGGATGGGTAAATTCGATATTCGAAGCTTCGATATT